GATGAAGTATCTTCTTTGAGGAATGATCTAAATTCATTCAAAGACTACGTGAGTTTTGTATGCCATTAGTAAACATTACAGTTTTGAAATTAACATTCATATATTTTTCCATCACCTATCTAATTTTTTATGTTTTGATTAGGTAATGGGCGAGTTCACGTCTTTAAGAACATTGATCAATGAAAACTTTAAGAAGATTTCTGACCAGATTAAAGTAAATCAGCCCACAGTGACACGTGATGATGGTATTCAAATGTCGCCTGATGTCGACGTGCAAGATAAACCTAAAGGCCAGCCAAAGAGTGATACAACTGTCCTCGAGAATTTAGAGATTAATATTTTTTAACCTCTGTTAGTTTATGTTTATATAACCATAATAAGACTATATGTTTCTTATTTATTCATATTAATCATCAATACCACACCATACATATTTTGAAATACAAGTAAATACATGTTACTTAAGTTATACATAAGTATTCAGTATTATATAAATACATATATAAACTGAGACATGTATGTAGTTGTATTTATGATTATTTTCAAGCTGTATTCTGCTAATGTATACTATATTTTCAAGTTGCAAAGAACCTACAGTTCCATACAACTACATACAACATAATCTAAATGTAGTTGTATTTAAGTTTTACAGAATACAGTATTCATTAAAAGAATACAATATTTATTAACTTGAAACTACAGTATACAGTAACAGAATACAGTAACTGAAACATGTATGTAGTTGTGTTTATGTTTATTTTCCACTTTATAAAACACTCATATACATCTGTATACATCAACAGAATACAGATGTTAATCCTGTTTCTGATGAAGCAATAGTTGAGGGGAATAATACATCTGAGATGTTGTGTATCATACTACCTATATGTGTATCCAAAGAAGTACATGTATCACAGTTTGAGTTGCCAGACCAGTTTCTTCCAAGTCAAAAACCAGAAGCTAGAATTATGATACATCATGCAGCAAAAAATCCAGCAGATGCAACCCCATTAGCCTCACATAGGAATCGGCGTGCAAGTAGATGGTATTCTTCGCCTTATGAGTCAAACTTCGACTCCGCAGGTTAGTAAATTTTTAAAAAAACAATGTATTATAAAGTTATGATCTTCTTCCCCCTTGTATCTATAATTAAATGGTTGTATTCATGACTTTACTGAACAATAGGTACCTCAGTTAAGTTGACTCACATATTAGACAAGAAACACCTATTTGAAGATGATTTGATTTCGGGACCACATCCTACATTAGTCATTCAGGAGTATGAGAAATGGGTTCGTGATGGTCTTATCGCTAAACATTATCAAAAGTAAGTTTTTAACTCTGTATGTTTATTCAATATATTTATAATTTAAATAATAAATATATTGTATTTTGAAATTCATTGTAGAAGTGATTTGGAAGACCATTACAAAAAGAACAAGTCAACACTGCATATACCGTTGGATTTTGGCGTTGATCAAGTCACTTCAAAAAACTGGTTTTACCTTCTCTCATTTGACGGCAAACTATGGAATGACAATGTAAGTTAACCTCCTTCCACATTCAGTTTATTAAATGTATTCAATATCAAATAAATACATGTATTAGCCATTATGTATGTAACATACAATTTTACTAATCTGTTTTCAGCAGTTTATATTTAACATAATACATGTTCAATTCTATTTTCAGCAGTTGATATTTTCTAAATTTCATTCAATATACTGACGCTATGTATTCAATTTTACATGTAGCATATTGATGTCATCTTTTACTACTTAAGAAAGAAGGGAAAGTACAACCAAATACCCAATTTCCAATTATACAACTGTTGATTATATATTCAAGACAAGAATAGCTGAAATATTCGATGCTGATACAAATAGTAATGCAAATGTAGCCGAAGAAGAGGATGTGGTATGTGAATACATAAGGGGCTACAGATTGCTGGCAAATGTACCGTGGCATACTGTTGACAATGTCTTGATACCAGTCAACTTGAAGGACAAACTGCATTGGGTATTGGCAGTTGTCTCATTCAAGGATAGATGTATCAAAGTGTATGACTCCATTAGATCATCATTGCATGATGCCTATGTGGCTTCAGAGATAGATAAGCTAGCTAAGCTTGTACCTCTGTATCTATCGATCAGCGGTTTTTACAGAGATAAGCAAGGCATAGATTGGACTCATGACTCAGCATACAGTGACAAGGCACCAACTGATCCCTTTGATGTTGTTTTCATTTCAAATCTGTCTCAACAAAATTCCGGGAGCATGTATGTGTTTAATCCTTTTCCTTGAATCATTTTTCTAATAATATGAATTGTTTGTAACTATTTTAATGTATTCTTTCAGGGATTGTGGGGTGCATGTCGTGGCATACGCATAGTTTCTGAGCACCATTGGTTTGGTTCCACAAATAAAATTGGATGCCAATTTACTCCGTCAAAGATATGGTGCCCTCCTTTGGGACTATGCTATGCGAAAGATAGACGTTGATGCCATAAGCGAGAGCGAAGCACCTTCAAAGATTCTTAGGCACATCACTGATTCTGATACGTCGGTTAAGATAATGTTAGAGTAGTCTTAGGTGAATGTAGTTTCCGATGGGAGTTTTTTGTGAATACAGTTTTTTTGGACAGTGTGTTGGTAAAGATGGTATTAGTTTAGCAAAAAAAAATTTAATTTATTGACCGTACCTGTCACGACCCAAACCCCGATCCGGTCGTGATGGCGCCTCTCGTGAAGACAAGGCCAGCCAACCAACCCAAATCGCCTTTTCAAAATAGTTAATATTAATAAGCAGTTTTAGCATAACTAAATAATCATAGTCTAAATAAAAGATTTCTTTATTAAGTGCGGAATACAACCCAAACACAGCCCAAACCGGGGTGTCACAAGTCACGAGCATCTATCAGAGTATAAATACCACTACAAGGCCTAAAATATACAAAAGAGGACTGATAAACATAAGGAAGAAATGCGGTGCTGCGAACGCTAGCAGTCACCTCACTAAACTCCGATAAGCTTAGCCTCCGATCAGCTCAAAACCCGCTACCAGGTGAACAAATACCTGCATCTGCACACAAGGTGCAGGGAGTAAAGTGAGTACTCCAACTCAGTGAGTAATAAAGGTAAATAATAACTGAGCAGTAAGAAATCCCGTAAAACAAACCATCATGTTGTATAGAGCAGTGTAAAACCCTTTGAGAAAAATAGTGAAGCAGTGAAATCTTTAGAAAAACGCCTTAGCTCAGTTTAAACCTCTTTTGGAAATGACTTTTTCAGCGGTTACGCAAATGAATGCAAAACAAACAGTATGGATAAGCACAGAAAATCCGCCCCTCGGGCACAACACTCAGTTATCAGGTAATGTCAGGCAATCAGGTAGATACTGCGTGAAGTAGCACAGACAACAGACAATGGCAGACAAATGAAATAAGGTAAACACATAGAAGCGTACCAGTACCGCTGCGGCATGCAGCCCGATCCACATATCGATGCGGCGTGCAGCCCGATCCATTTATCGTCAACGGCGCTCACTAGGGGTGTGCAGACTCCGGGAGGGGCCCCTTACTGCCCAAGCGCAATATCAAGCCATCTCGTGGCATCAAATCTAGGCCCTCGGCCTCATCTCAGTATCATATAACACTGTTGCGGCGTGCAGCCCGATCCAAAAGTATCCTCACTATAACGACCCTACCGGTCGTTCTGAGTCCTAGCGCTCCGTTCAGTAGTCGGAGGCCATGAACAGCTTCATTTCGAGTATTATGACTTGTACGCGTGGTCGGAATTAAGTTTCAGGAAGTTCAAAGTTAATTTAGAAAGAGAATTCTCATTTCAGAAGCTTAAAGTTGAAAGAATGAACTAGAATTAGAATTTTGAGTAAACGACCTCGGAATCAGGATCCGAAGGTTCCAGCAGGTTCGTATGATGATTTTAGACTTGGGCGTATGCCCGGTTCGGTTTGGATAACCCGGGAGTGTTTTGGGCGCCTATTGTGGAAGTTAGTATTTTAGAAGAAATTTCATAAGTTTGGCTTGGAGCGCATTTCAGTGTTATCGATGTCCGTTTGGGATTCCGAGACTCTGAATAGCTCCGTATGGTGATTCTGGAGTTGGGAGCGCGATCGGAAGTGTATTCGGAGGTCCGTAGGTCATTTTGGAGCCATTTGGCTAAAGATAGAAATTTGAAGGCTTTTGAGAAGTTTGACCGGAGGTTGACTTTTTGATATCGGGGTCGGAATCCGATTCCGGAAGTTGCAATAGGTCCGTAATGTCAAATATGACTTGCGTGCAAAATTTGAGGTCAATCGGACGTGGTTTGAAAGGTTTAAACATCGGAAATAGAAGTTGGAAAGTTCAAAGTTCATAAAGATTGAATTGGGTGTAATCCGTGATTTTCGTGTTGTTTGATGTGATTTGAGGCCTCGAGCAAGTTCGTAATGTGTTTTGGGACTGGTTGGTGTGATTGGTTGGGGTCCGGGGGGCCTCGGGTGGATTTCAGATCGAAAATGGATTTTTGGGAAGGCTGAGGTTTGCTGATTGCTGGTATTTCCGCTTCTGCGGGAATGGGACCGCAGAAGCGGCCCCAGAAGCGGTAGGGGGAGCCGCAGAAGCAGAATTGTTCGAAGGTTCGTGGACCGCAGATGCGGTCAAGGTTCCGCAGAAGCGGGACCGCATCTGCGGAAGTGATATCGTAGAAGCGGAAGGGGCTAGACCCAAGGAAGCCGCAGAAGCGGCCAAAAGTCGCAGAAGCGACATCCGCAGAAGCGGAAAATGCACCGCAGGTGCGAAAATCGTTGGTGGCAGAGGGGTTGTTTTAAAGTCAGATTTTGTTCATTTCACCCATTTTCTTCATTTCATTTGGCGATTTTTGGAGAGCTTCAAAGAGGGATTTCGTCATCTATGTCAAGGTAAATTACTCCTACTCGTTTTCAAGTTAAATACAAGATTATATCATGGATTTAGGCATGAAAATTGTGGGGAAATTGGTGTTTTTAGAAGAAGACCTAGAAATTTATAAATGGGAATTTAGCCACAAATTTGAGCATGGAATTAAGAGTAAATTGTATATTTGAGCTAGTAAAGTCATGGGTAAGCTTTATCTTCGAAAAATTTCGGGTTCCGGGCATGTGGGTTCGAGGGCATTTTGGTCATTTCGCTAAGCAGAGTTGGGAATTTGTATAATTTGAATTGTTAATGAGTATTTGAGTATGTTCTCATTAGTTTGTCGTTAATTGGCTAGTTTTGGTGCAATGTGCGTCGGTTCAAGCCTTCGGAAGAATGTAGAAAGCGGATTATGAGTCTTCGGAGCGAAGTGAGTCTCCTTTCTAACCTTGTGAGGGGGAAATGTCCCCATAGGTGAATTAAATGGTTATGTGCTCCTAATTGTGGGGGCTACGTACGCACGAGGTGACGAGAGTCCGTGCGTAGCTACTATTATGCTATTGTCCGGGTAGTTAGGACCCAAAAGCATGTTATACTTGAATTATTTGTGAATCCATCGATAGCTTGAATTGCTTAAATCACATTAAATTAGTAAATGAATTTCTAAAAGGATTAAACTTCATTTCTTAAAATTTGTTAAAGGAGAATTGGTTTTAATTGGATAAATATTCCCCGATAAGTTCTTAATTGACTGATTGAGCATGTATCCCTATGTGTACCTGCGTCGCATGCATGATTCGCGAGCAGGGTATGTGTTTATTTATGGAACGGGCCGAACGCCTCGGCAGATTAAATAGATGCATCTATGGTTCGTGCCGTTCGACCCTCGGCAGTGCACAGTTTACATTTCTGTTGGATCGGGTCGTCGCCTCGGTGTGATTTGCGCATGTTCTTTGTCGCTTGAGAATTTTAAACGTGGAATTGCTCTTCGTGGCCTGATATAGATTGATAAGATAATAAAAAGTAAATCCTTGAAAAAAATCCTTGTTAATTGTTAAAAGGTGTTTACTTGCTTTACAACTTGTGCATTAGAACTTGCTATATGAAGTCATGTTTTTCTCACACAGTTAGTGTATTATTATTATTGGACCGCTAGTGAGTGTCCAGGTTGACCATCTCGTCTCTAACCCTTCGAGGTTAGGCGGGATACTCACTGAGTACACGTTGATTACGTACTCATACTACACTTCTGTGCATTTTGTTGCACAGGTATAATTTACAGTTGATAGCAGCACGGATGATTTGGGGACTAGGTGAGCTGCACTGTTTGAGGCGACCCACAGCTAGTGTAGTTCCCTTCCAGTACTTTTTTATTTATTTCCTGTCCACTGTACTTCGTACAGATATTGTATTTTATTTTCCTTATCAGTAGTTGCTCATGCACTTGTGACACCGGGTTCTGGGATGGTTTTTCGAAAGATGTGTATTAATAGTTATTTCTTAATTTGAATCGAGACAGAGAGTTTTTTATATATGAAAAATGGAAGGAAAACCCTTAAATTTTCAAAGGTATTAAAAGAGGATTTAATTGATAATTTAGCTGGCTTGCCTGACAACGGTGTCCGGCGCTATCGCGACCCGTAGTGGATTTGGGTCGTGACAATATATTGGTCCAGCATAATATGATGGAAGTTCATATACAAGTGCACCAATCTCCAATATATTATTCTGGAACTTTTCATGTTGCAGCAAAATAGTGACTATTTTTCAATGACTATGCAAACGCTGTCTATTTTTCAATTAGCAGTCTGAAAACTAGCTAGCCGTGCTATTGCAATAGCCGACTGTAACGATCTGACCGGTTTGCGT